ATGTGTTTTAGTGTTATGATAATTTTTTTTTTTTTATTTCTAATTTTTGTATTTCAAACAATTTGCAATGCATGTCTAGATTTTGTTAAAAAGGACGTTTGTTATACTTATTTAACACTTTTACGCTCTATACGAATAAAGGAGGTGTTGAAAAATTTTTTTTTTGCTCTATTTTTAATTTTTGATCTCATTTTAATTTTTTAATTGTAAAATTTTATTTTTTAATATGACAGAAACGCTATAAAAAAAAATTTCATATCTGTTCAAGGGCCATCAATGAAAATTACTCAAAGTATTTTGAATTTATTTTCTTTTGTAATTAAAAATTCTATTTTAGTAGTCTATATGTGTATTTACTTAAAGTTTAAGAAATTTCTTTCGAATGGCACTTGAAAACTATTAACAATATTGTTAACAATTAATAATTTAATAATGGGGAATTTATTTAATTTCAAGTTTTTGATTTGATTTTTTAAATATTAGAAAAAAATTTGCAAAATTTATAATATTTTAGTCTTCCCTAAATTTGGGAGAAATATAAAAATTATAAAAATGCAAGAATAATTTTTCCAATTTAAAAATTTATGCTTTATTTAAAAACAATTTTTTATAAGTGGCTGATAAATGATTACAATTTGATAAGGACTTAGAAATTTGGTGAAGATAAGTGATTGTAGAGTTTTTAAAATTTAGCCTTAGGTATGATTTTGAGTATCTCTACGCAAAAAGTACATACATAAATGGTTATTATGGCTTTCATTGCAAATACTAAATGCAAAAATTTTTAAATTAAATTAGGGTTGCATTTCATTCGAAATCATTTGTAATAAAATTATTAAATAAAATATTGAAATGAAATTTAATTATTTATAAAAGTTGAAAATTTTAAATGTAAAATGTATATATACATTATATAAGTGAGTGACAGCTAGCACTATAATTGAGTAACAGCTGGATATTAAAACTGAACTCATTGTATAATTTATATTATAGAGAGTGTTAAAGAGCGTATCATGGACATGAAATTAATATAAAAATACAAATACGAGAATAAGTTTTGTGGTTGAAGAGCTGATTGATTTGGAACCATTTTGTTTTAAGGAAATTAAATACAAAGTTTGTATTGCAATATGTGCATATCTCTTTGTAGCTAAGTGTATTGATAAAATTTCGAAATGAAATTAAAGATGGAGCTACAAAAAACTTAAATTTAAATCATTCTTTAAAAAATTGTTAAAGTTCAGTTATGGTAAATTGAACTTGAAGGTTCATGTAAATAAAAAATTATTTAATATTAAGATTAAATTGTGGGAAATTTAAATTTGTAACAAGAAAGATTATTTTTCGGGATGCAATCGATACCAGATGATCGTTGTTTAAGTAATGAAAGATTGCTTGAAGTACCAAATTATAAAAATAATCTAGAACGGGTCAAATCAATAGGATTTTTATTAGTATCTGTTAAATAACAAATATTTCGGAGTGGTTTGAATGGATTCAGCTTGGAAAATCTTGAAGAGAATCAAATAATAAACAGGAACGAAACTGTCTTAATGACATATTATATAAGTAAGCACTTCTTATTTCATTAACTGAAAAATTAATTTATTGTTTGGTTTTCAAAAATAATTTTAGTTTACTAAGCTCATTTAAGTAATTAAGATTTTTAAAAATTTATGGGTGGTATTATTATAATTACATTACATCTATAAGTGATTTGTTTACACTGTTAAACATGTGCCGAATTATTGTTTTTTCTATAACTATGCTGTGCGCTTTCTTACTTGTAATATAAAAAAATATGTTTATGTAATTAATTAGAATTTTTTCTTTCCAATATTTGGCATTATTGTACAAAATATTCTGTAGCAAATTTGTTTTCAAAGAAACTTTAAATATAATTTTGAAGTTCAGACGCATTCATACATGCAAGCCAAGCTAAATGTGCTTCATATAAAAGCGGCAGAAGTGGGTTTGAAATTTAACACAAGAAAAACCAAATCCCTCCGAATAAACACAACAATGAGTAAACCCTTCTTAATTTGTCATAGATGCCAGCACAATACAAGATGTCAATTATTTCGACAATATAACATCGACAACCGGAGGGGTTAAAGAAGACATAGAAAACAGCTTGAAGTGGCTAAGGCAAATTATGGGCTATCTGACATTTGGCTATTTTCGCATTTTTTCAGAAATACAAAATCAACGCATGTATGAAATCAGTCCTGTTGTATGGTTGCGATACATGACAAAAAAATTAATACACATACAAAATACAGGTATTCATAAATAAAAGCCTAAAAATCATCTACCAAGTAATCTGGCTCAGATGAATTACCGACACAGATCTCTGGGATCTAACCAACCAATAACAAGACAGCCATTGGGGTGGAACCTGGAAGAAGCGTTGGACGACTTAAGAATACATGGCAAAGAACAATAAAGAAAGAAATTACAGAGGCCAAAATGACATAAGCAGAAGTAAAACAAATGGCTTCTAACAGAGTTAATTGTAAAAGTTTTATGGAAACCCTGTGATTCCAAGGGGAGTAAAGCAGGAACATTGTGTATTTGATTTTATTCCCGATTAACAAAAAAAAATTGTTAGTTAAAATCTTAAACGTTTTTAATCAAACTGTGTTCAAATAATTTTATTTAAAAATTGTATTTTTTATTTATGTGTATGTATAGAACAGTACTCTAAGAAACCATACAAATTGGCTTACTGTGCTTTTAGCTTACGGCAAATTTTTTAAATCAAAACACTTTTTTCGTTTATTTTCATTAGTTGCGTTATTAAAAGGCTCAATTTCGTGTGAACGTACCATAATTTAATAAAATCATTTTGTTTTAAGTGTAAATAAGTGAAAATGTATAAGTGTACACTGCATACACAATGGAAGTTTTATTGGTTTTTCATGTTATACGTATGTTGTGATGAAAATGCTTCAATCATATCAACTTTAAACCAATACTGTTCTTTATAATTGTATAAAATTTATTATTTTTTTGCTTGGCTTTTAAATTTTAAGCTACTTTAAAAGCACGTATCATTTCAATCACTTAACAAAATGAAAACGTTAACAAAAAGCTACCAAGCGTTGACTTTAAGTACGTGATAATTTTTTTTTGTTATTAATTTTTCATTTAATGCACACAGTTAAAGTTTCCTAACATAGGCTGCTAACAGAATTTAAATATTTAAATTATTACATTTTATAATGAGTCTGACGTCAATGTTGTTTAACATAGCACAAAACAAAAAGAGGAATATACACACACGTGTTATATGTAATTATAATGTAAATTGCATTTTGGGTTGGATGGAATGCACTTATAATATTATAAGTTGGAGCATGGATATTGCGTAAAAAATTCGTATACCAAATATACAATGTTTATAAAAATATAATTTACTGATAATTTATATTATGTAATTTTAAGTAGAATCGCTAGCAGTAATGTGGAGTGTTTAATTTTAAAAGGTTATATGACTTTAACACTAAGGTTGCATTAAATTTCAATACTAATAATTTGCATTAAATCGTGGAAAATCTGCAGAAAATTTTATAAAAATTAAAATTAGTGCATTACTTATTAATAGATGTATTTTAGAAAAATTGGCACGTTACAAATAAATTTTTCTAATACTTAACATTCTTCGAACTTCGGTACATAATTTATTCTATTCTTTATATGGTAACTCAATTTTTCGAAACTATACTATTTTTATTTTTTATAAACAATTTTTGAAAAGTGTCTCCGTCCAATGAGTGAATTGATATTGTAATCATTGAACGGAGTGTAATATCAATGAGTACATTTACATTAAATTGTTAACACAATTAAATTATTTATTTTTTTTAAATAATTTAAGGCAAAATAAAAATTTTACTGAATTAATATTCACAAAGCTTCTTTTATTATTATTGGAAGCTAACAATTTTTGCCAAAACAACAAAATTCCTGGAACTACGTCACCACAATCCTGAATTTTACACTGCTAATATTATAGCCATAAATAATTGTCGTATGTTTCAAACCAACACATTTTATATGTGGTCCATATAGTTCCTTTAAGAAACGCAAATTTTCAACACGTATTCAAAGCAACTACTGATCACAGTTTTCTATAAAATCACAGTTTGCAATCTCGTTCGTCTCATTTCCATATGTTATCTAAAATTCCCATTATGCATGTATTTTTTTTCCGGTATTTTTCAATTTAGAACTTATGATAATTAATTCCAATATAAGTTTATTTTTCTTCATGGTAAATAATCGAGTTTCGAAATCATTCATCCGAAATAGTTGCAATGTCATTTTATAACCAAATATTGGAAGAATTTGTTCTATAAGTATAAAAGAGACACATAAGAACTTTAATTGAAGATTTCAGATTTCTTTTACAAAGGGAGCGGCTCTTGATTTTTTTTCATATACACAAAAGGAATTACAAATTAATTTTTTTTACAAAATATGAAAATTACCATATAAATTTAATCACCTTTAACAAGCGTTAAATATTTTCATTTTTTAAAATAAAAAATGCCTAATCATTTCAAATGAATAAAAAATAAAAAACTAAAAAAATAATTTGAAGTTATATATAACAAATTATTAATCACCTTTGTTGTCTAATCCATTCGGTGACATTGTTAAACTAATTTCACTACATGAATCAACACTATCATCAATTAAATCATCATTGCAACGATTCTCACGATCATTAATATCAGATTTAATATTGAATATTTGATAAAAACGATTATTATCAATTGAATTTCCGCTATTATCAATATTATTATTTTTATTACTGCTACTAATTACATTATTACCATTATTTTGACTAATTATTGTACCATTATAATGTTGTAACAATGGATTATGATGATGATTATGACTATTGTTATTGTTATGAGAATGATGATAATGGTTTGTACTTAAATCCATATTTAATAAATCACTTGATTTATCTGCTATATCTAAAATTTTACCATTTTGTGAAAATGCTGATGCAACAACAGCTGCAGCTGCAGCAGCAGCAGCCGCAGTACCTAATGTTATACGTCCTTTAAAACGTTGATCAAAATTTGAATTTTGTAATAATTGTTGTTGTTGTTGTTCAGTTGAACTATTTATTAAATCATTATTTGCAATTAAATAATCATTTTGTATAGCGTTATTATTAGCACTACTCGCTAATAATAACTCAGTTAATTTTTCCCGTGCTGTTATATCACCACAATTATTCATCATAAAATGTGCTAAAGTTTCACGATATCTTGGATCCGAATGATTTAAAAAAGATCTTGGATCTAAAAAATTTGACATTATTGATGTTGGTGTTGATGATGTTGTTGTTGTTGTTATTGATGATATTCTTAATCCGTTTTCATCTACTGGTGGTGGTGATGATGAAGATAATTGTTGCAGAGAGTGATGGCGATCTATTGTTGATATTGAAAATCTTTTATTTAAATTTTGTGTTGTTTCTGCTGATAAATTTTGTAAATGAATTGCTAATGAATTTGTTGGATTCGAAAAGAAATGTGATAATCGAGATTCTTGATGTAGTGAATTATGTTGTTGTTGTTGCTGCTGTTGTTGATGATGACTTAAATGTGGATGATGATTTAAATAACCCATCCATGGATTATAAAATGGAAAATTATTTAATCCTAATTGTGTAAAACCACAATTTATTGATGGTGTTGTTTGTTGTTGTTGCTGTTCGGCTATTGCTACTGGTAATGTTTTTATTGACTGTTGTGATGATTGATATTGTGTTGAATCATTATATTCCGATTCTATTTGTATTTGTTCTGATGATGAAGGAGATGTTTGATGATTATCATCTTGATTATAATCTAAACTATCTAAATTGCTATTGTTATTATTATTATTGTTATATGCTTTTGTTGGAGATTCTATTGGTGAAGATGTTGTATTATTATCCATATTGCTGTTATTTGTTTGATTATTATTATTATTATGACTTGATAATAAATTTTCAATTGAAAATTGATTTGTTAAACGTGACATTCTTGTGTTAGATACGTTCAATTCAACACTGTTATTATTATTACTATTATTTAAAATTTCAATTTCTGTTTTATTTTTATCCATTTTGTAAAATAATTTTCTCACTTTTTAATTAATATTAATTAAAAATTAAAAATAATATAAACAATTTTTTGCTTTTTCCATAATTGAATATTTAATTTTATATTTAACTAATTAAGTTATGCGCAATTCAATCGAATAAAATCCGCACCCTATAACAATTCTAATTACCGACGACAATTCAAAACTAATTTATAATAATTATTGTTACCTATAATATTCAATTGTATTTATTATAAAAAATTATTCCAAAAAAAAATTAATAACACAATTTTATTTTCACGTGACCGCTTACATTGAAGTTAGAAAATGAACTGAAAATTTTATAAAAGAAAATTGTCAAATGAATACTCGCATGCCTGTCACCACATATTATACCCTATACATATATGCGGATATGTACACATGTATGCATAATTGCCAGTTATATTGTTTGTTTTTCTTTTTAAATTCTGTTGTTTGTTTGTTTATTTAAGAGTCATCCCTATATTCATAATAAAACATACAATTATTTATTTTCAAAATTAACTCATTCTATTTTATTTGTTTAACACACACACAGACTCACAATTCATAATTTCTATTAATATAATATGTTTGTGTGCATATACACTAATCCCCATTTATTAATTCAATACAAATAATTCGTATTAAGTGATTTAAAATTATCTTCATTTTGAAAATAAAACAATATAAGAAGAGTAAATGAAAAGGGTGTGGTCGCTTTTATACAATAATAGTAGGAACATTATGTATCGTTCAGATGAAGCGGTCTACTGTTATAATTGTGTATGTGAATTTTAAACTAACACATTCAAATAAAGCTCCTCCTTTAATACCATTGATTGACATTTTTTATAAAAATTAATATTTGAAATATGTTGTGTGCGCGCGTGTATGAGTGTATTCTACGAAAATATGGCCGGTGTATGGTAATAATGATCTTGTTTTTTGTCCGTAAAGTTACTTTAAGAACATTTTTGTGTTGTTGTTTTTTGTGTTCTTTCTTAATTTGTATTTAATTTGTGTTTTTTTTTCGAAATATCCGCTATGGCCTTAGTAACTTAATTGATTTCTTTCTTTGCCCCCATACTTTTAGAATTTTTCTCTAAATTAAAATTTAAGAACTTTATTATAAATGATGATGATTATTATACTTGGTTTTCCTCCCTTCCTTCCTGCTTTATATTATAATTTATAGAATATATGTATATGTAGATATTCTGCGGTTTTTATTTTAATATTTTTTTTTCTTTTATGGTAATTACGTTAAATAAATTGTGAAATTATTCAAATAGAAGATAGAATGGAATATATCATTAAAATATTTCCATTTATTTAAATATGATTGCGCAAATATGTATACATATGTATGTAAGAATAGTAAATAGAAATGTGTATTATGTGTGTATGTACATATTTATACAAATTATTAATGTTTACTTTAGCAAAAATGTGTGAGTTAGGAAAATATAATTATGAATTTTTGCGGTAAATACGTGAGAAATTAAATTTAAACATTAAATAAAGAAAAGCATAAGATCTATATACATACGTGTGTATATGCATGTGTACACGAGTATCTCAGTGGTAGATACATAGTCACATACTTTTGTATGTAAAAATACAGAAATGGGCGATTTTGTACAAATATTTGAAAATTTTCTATTGTAAATTTCTTTATGTTACGAATTGACACTAATAAAAGTTATCACAAAACTATAGAAAATAGACAATTTTTCTAGTGAATTGAATTAAAGGTCGCCCACAATTTTCAAGGTAATTTAGAGCAGTTTTAAATTTTAAATTCTTCATTTTACCTTGAATAATGGCAGTTTGTTGTTTTTTTAAGCCTTGCGATTGAAAAAAAAGATAATACTGAAATTTTGGGCTACGTTTTTTTTTGGATTTTTAGGGATTTTGGGATCTTAACCGTTACAAAACTGGTTGTTTTTAACGGTACCAGCGGTACCTATAATTGCTTTCCCATTTTCAAAATTTTGTGAAGCATGAAATGTTCACACACAATTTATTTACTTGGCGAGACTTTTCGGAGAGGCCAGAGTGTCAGAAAGCCTGAAAGATAGCAAAAATCAAGAATCTTAATGTGTAGATGAGTTCCATAAATCATGACTTTTATTTTAAATTTATAATTTTCTACTGAAAAATATTGTTTTTCCTATTTTAATCTTATATTAGAATTAAATTTATTAAATTTAGTCAAATAAATATTGTTATACGTTGCGTATAACAATATTGCCTTTTATATATTAAATTACTCTTTATAGAACATAAGAAACCGAGACACGAATGATCGAATATTAAAATTATTACAAATTTTTATAAGATCGCCCAAATAAAATATATTCAAAATTCTTATAATATAATTTAAAAACGGATGGAAACGGACAATTAATTTTATTATAGAGTTAGCAGTAAAGTATAGCAGTATAATACTTTCCCAAATTTCTTTATCAACACTCAAATATAAGCACAGATATAGTCAAAAATTTAATTTTAGCAAAATGTTGTATAAAATTATAATTTAAATGTGTGTATTATAAATTATTCTTATAAATTTCATGTGTTTGTGTGCAATTATGTATACGTTATATAAATTATATACGTACAATATATTTTGATGTAATAAAATGAAAAATATGATGGAAAAATGGGAAAAATTTTTAAAGAGGAAAAAGGAAATTGAGCAGAAATCTTTTAGTAATTTATTTTATTTCCTCTTTTTTTTTAAATTTTAATATTATACATTTAATTCGTAACACATACATACATACATATATAGATATAAAAGTTTATATATACATATAGACACCTGATTATTTTTCGTAATTATTTAAATGAAGAAAAAATTTTACATAATAATTTGCTTAGCAATTTAAAAAGGATACTAAAAAACTTTCGTTCTACTTAGAAATTAAGTCATAAAAATTTTTAAAGCTATGGGTGAAGAACTTTTTGTTAAAATATTGATTTTAATTAGTATAATAAAGGATTCATTTTATACAATGAAAATATTTCCATAAAAAGACTTTTAATTTTGCAATTAAATAAAATTAAATTTTGATTATATGAGGGGCATTATAATAAGAGTAAGAAAAGTTGCAAGAAAAATGGTACAGGAACATCCCATGACGGCAAGGTGATAAAGTATACGTAATTCTTAAAATACTTTGTTGCGGCAATCGAAATTAATTTGAAATGATGACCAATTTCATACTAATTAAAAATTAACATGTTACGATTTATATTTATAAAAGTTACTGTTTTTTGAATTTTCAACTTGATTTCGACTACGACTTTTTTTTTGAAAACTTTCGTATATATCAAACCAACCTCTAAAATGTTTTAGTAAGATAATCAAACTAAATTCAGGTTTTCATATAATTTGACTTAAAAGTCCCCTACACTAATATTCATATCAAAATTTTGCCAATTTATTTTAATTTTTTGCAACATGTGCGTTACTGGCTTACAAATCACGTAGTTTATGCTGTGGCTTGGAAAATCTAGTCTCAATAGATTTCAAGTTTCTGAGATCTTTCCTGTAATATATGCGGCTTAATAAGACGTATATATATTAAGAAGACTTGCAAAATCCACTATATAAGTACAAAACGCTTCTGAAGCAGTTTATAAATATAATCAATTTCAACATTACATGATCATTCAAATATATTCAAAAAACGAGATATACGCATTAGACGGCTAACTAATATTTAATGAGAAAAATGATTTGATCATTATAAAACCTGCATAAATTAAAATTCATCCCAATGATTTTCATATAAGGGGTGAACTGTGAATCCCATTACAAATTCAAGCAACTCTTTCGAAAGCTTAACCGTCTATTCAAATAATGGCGAAAACTGAATATTAAAAAAATACATTTCCGAGAAAAGCTTACTTATTACAACATCTTCCTAATCATTAAGCTCTAAATCATTCTTAATGTATCACAGAGTAAACCTATATATCAAATCACTTCGCATATTTGCATGTCCATCCACACAGTGGACTCTGTTCTATTTGGCTATACTAGTCTAGTCCTGATTATTATTTACGTAAGTTTTAACAAAAATTTTATAAGATTTTCTTAACTCACGTAATGGGGACTATGTGTTGCTAGTAATGTCGAATATTTTGACCAAAAGTTCTAGAACAAAAGTTTCTTATCTCATCATAGATTATGACGTCACAAAATATTGAGCCATTATGCGGAATCATCTATTCGCTACAATAGCTGTTATTTTCATAAAAGAACCTTCTCGAAAAGTAAATTCGTTGGTAAAATGCAAAAGAAGCAAAAATTTCCTTTAGTAAGCCGTCGGCAGACGGCCCCATCAAAAAGGTAGATTTTTTTTATTTAAAACGATTTACAATTTGAATTTTACCTGTTTACGAACTTATTGTAAAGATCAAAATTGATATAGCAAAATTTGACTTAATTTATTTAGGAAAGAAGCTCATATTTTGCGTTTCTGTCAAACATTTCATATTCTGTTGTTCTATTTATAGGTGTGGTACCTACATAAAAGAAATTTTAATAATTTTTATGATTCTGTTAATTTGTAACGCTCAAAAATAATTTATTTTCTGCTCTTATTTCTTTAAACTCTTCATTACTTTAATTTTCAACGTCTACCTTGTGTGAAAACTGTTATAACTTTAAATAACTTTTAATTTCATGTAATTTCTAAAAATTTTCTACTTGAAATATCTTTAACGAATAATTTTTCAAAAATTACAGAAAATACAATCTGATGAGAACAATTTAATAACAACAAAAGTTTTGTGCTTTAAACCACACCCACTAAATAAAAAAGAAAATAAGTGAGTGTGAGTAGATACACACACTATTAAATATTTTTCATTTTTATGTTTATGTGTGAGTTGAATTCTAATTATTACGCATACTCCTAAATTACAATGATTGTGTTAGTTTATGAATGTATGGGTTAGTTTATGAATGTATAAATGTTCAAATGAATATTTTTATAATAAAGGACTTTTTCATATTTTGAATTTTATTGTTATAAT